ACAAATCTCTACAGATACAAATTATAAACATAACTTAGTAAACTTTGAGTGCACTTGGTGCCAAGTCCTGGTGTTAACACCATTTCAACAGAAGGCCACTAGGTGTTGTTCTGCCTAGTTAAAGGTGGCCATTTGAGATTCTTAGCTGCTTTTCTGAAGAGAAGTAGTGTTATGACATTATCCCTCCCTTCATGAAACACCGGACCCACTGTGATAGCGATTGGTTCTCACAAAATACTCCCCACATTACCTGAAGGTATCCATAAACGAGCAACGCAAATCAAGTCACATGCTCTTCTGCGCATTTAGCACTGAAACAAGTGCAAAGAGTGTCAGTTTACTGGCATCAAACACACATACATACATATCATCTGTTACAGTACATGTTTGTGTGTGCTGTGGTGGAGGAAAGATCTCCATCTGAGCTGTATCAACACAATCTCACAGCACTTTGTAACCTTTTGATTTAGTGGCTCATTCATATGAATTCGTATAATCTCATTTGTACGATTTAGAATGATTTGCTTATCCCCCAATGACATTTGGGATTAGGGGTGGGGTTGGGTCCCACGCCTACTTTTTAAAATCGTACAGAATAGTTCTGTTTCCTCGTGAGATCAAGCTGGCTGTATATAAACTATTCCACTTGAGCTATCGCTCGAGTGATTTAATCTAAAAGTACGCTGGGTATTAAGACGTGTATGGCTTAACATTATGCAAATAATGTCTATTACTAAAATATGTTGCAGATTTATTTTATTTAAAAAACTGGATAATGGGAGCTGCTATTATTTTTAAGTACTCAGTGCTGGACGTCTGATGGTTCAACAGTAACACTACATAACTGCACACTATCAAACATTTATTAAGCATTAGCAAATAGTTTATTCCACTTTTATTAAGCTTTGACTCTACATTAACAGACATAAATATGCAGTTTATAAATGCAGCCACAAATGCTGTATTCTTGACTTACAGGAACATATATAATATGTCTAATAATTGTATTATAATGCTTTGTTAAAGATTAAATTTTCATTACTAAAAGCCTCATTCACACTACGAGTGACTTCATTTCAACGGAGAGTTTCAACCTCTGTGAGCAAAAGCTATCGTTGGGGACCAAGTGGGCGTGTGGAGCAAGGCTACAAAGTTGAGAATCCTTCAACTTTATGCAAATGAAGAGCGACTTGCTTGAGCGTCACCAGTAGAGCTTACATGATCCTCTCTCTTCTCGCTCAGAGGCCGGTTGTATTCTCTGGCTGTAGACCTACACAGACCAGCGTTTGCAGTAGGTCGCCACCCAGAGCGACAGGCAGCTACAAAGTCGCTGCTAGTGTGAATGAGGCTTAAGTGCTGAATTATTTACAAACCACTTATTTAAGAGTAGTTGGATGTATTTAAGGTGATAAACTATTGAATTTGACATTTATGCACCTTTTTCAGGCATATAGTAATAGTTACTCTTGCGTTTATCAACACTACTTCATGCAGTTTTGTGAGCTCATCTAAAATAAATGCCTTATAAATCACAATTAGAGGCTCAGTTGTATTCTAGAAAGACCATAAATAATTGTGATTTATGGATTGACATTATGGTTTCTATCAAAAAAAAATCTAAGATATAAAAATGATGTTGTTAAACTGTATTAAATGAAAAATAAAACTTTGCAGTGTAATCTAAAATACATTTTCTATGCAGTCTACACATTGCTGAATAAAAGGTGTCAAAATACAAAAAAAAAATAAAATACTATATGCCTGAAACGTGTATAAATGTTCATTTGACATTTTTAGAAATCATTTACAACAGTGTTTCTCAACCACATTCCTGGAGGACCACCAACACTTCTTGTTTTGGATGTCTCCTTTGTCTGTCACACCCATTACAGGTTTTACAGTCTCTGCTAATGAACTGATGATCTGAATCAGGTGTGTTTGGTTAAGGAGACATGGTAAATGTGCAGGGCTGGTAGTCCTCCAGGAACATGGTTGAGAAACACTTATTTACAAGCTCATTCTAAATGATGTAACTAATGCAATACCTACTTTATTAATGAAAAATGAATCATCAATAATCATAATATTGTTTATCGTCATTATTTGTAGCTGTTTTTATAAGCTGCTTACTAATGTCTATTAATGTAGAGTTTATGCTTAATAAATGATGAACTATTTGCTAATGCTTAATAAATGATTCATAGTGGGCACTTCATAGAAAGTTTTACCACTTACACTTTTTTTTAACACAACATGAAATTCAAAATACCGATACAGTGGCAGATTGTACGGCTTTTGTTTGTAATTTTCAGTTGAAAGGCAACAACAGAGCCAATGTAAGTCTTCTTCACAACAATCGATTTGTCGCCACTAGGATTCTCAACACCCCTGGATATTGAGTGAAATCTGCACTGAGAAATATCAAGACAAGAAACGCTAGACACTAATCATGCTGACTCTAGTCAACATCTGTCTGTGTAGTGGCATCAGTCATACCTGGAAAGCACTGTACACTCACTTTGCACGCATAAAAATGAAATACATGGACAAGCTTGAACTTTGTTTAGCATGTAGCATTTCTTGTCCTTGGCATTTTTCACTCAATATCCTTGGCATTTAGACATGTTAAAAAATTGATGGTATGGCATTTGGTTTAAGCCTATGCTTCTATCTATTGCCACCAGTAAACGCTTTCACTCTCTGTGGTTCCTGAAAAACCTCAAAAAAGGCATCAGAGCTCATGTGGAGCCACTAGACAGGGCTCTTGAGGAAGTTTTATTAATCCACGGGAATCTTTCCATCCTTTTCTCTTATCGCTAGGAAAGCATTGAAGATGCGCATCATCTCTCTTGTTGCCCTTTGCCTGAAAATTACTTACACAGTGTGAGATTGTCCCAGTATTTTCAATTCTATGTTATATTACTGAAAAATATCAACTTGGAGCGCAAATAGTTCACAATGTGTAACCATTAGACGTCACACACTGCTCACCTAAAATAATGGCAAAATAAATGTATTATTATTTCTTTTTTAAATAGGATCAATCTTTTATGTTTTTTTAGCTCTTACTTCAATAACAGGTATTGATTACACTATATTAATCCATACAAGTCTTAAAGGGATAGTTCACCCAACACTGAAAACTCTGTGAATTCACCCTCAGGTTATCCAAGATGTAGTTTTGTTTTTTTGTTCCGTAGAACATTAAAGAAGAATTTTAACTGAATCTGATAATCTCATTTTTATAATGGCAGTCAATTTTTTGCCTGCTATAAAAACAATACAATAGCCATGGCTCTTGGTGAAACACTAATGCATTTGTCAACAAATAAAGGGACACACTAGCACAAGGCATACATATGCACCAAGAACGGGCCATGCTGTGGAATAAAGCTAATAATATTGTAAACAACATTCAATTTCTTACACAGGCCAGTTGGTTCGTTTCACAAAGAATTGTGTTGCCAGGAGCCATGGCTATTGATATAGATTGTTTGTAAATGTTTAAAAAAGTATACCCATTAACTGCAATTATAAGAATCACCAGGACCACAGATTTAAATTCTTTGTGATACAGAACAAAAAAAAGTCACATATACAGTTGAAGTCAGAATGATTAGCCCCCCTGAATATTTTTTCCTCCAATTTCTGTTTAATGGAGAGAAGTTTTATTTTTTCAACACATTTGCAAACATAATAGTTTTAATAATTAATCTCTAATAACTAATTTATTTTATCTTTGCCATGATGACAGTAAATAATATTTGACTAGATATTTTTCAAGACACTTCTATACAGCTTAAAGTGACATTTAACTAAGTTCATTAGGTAGGTTAGGATAATTAGGCAAATGATTGTATAATGATGGTTTGTTCTTTAGACTATTGAAAAAAAAAAATAACTTAATATAGTGGCTAATAATTTTGACCTTGAAATGGTCTTAAAGAATTAAAACTGCTTTTATTCTAGCTGAAATAAAACTTTCTCCAAAAGAAAAATATGATCAGACATTCCATGAAAATGTACTTGCTCTGTTAAACATCATCTGGCAAATATTTTCAAAAGAAAACAAAATAATCGAAGGGGGGCTAATAATTCTGACTTCAACTGTATATTGAATAACCTTAGGGTGAGTAAATGAACAGGAAATGTTGACTTGAAACCAACATAGGCTCATTCTGAAAACATAGCTCTATATACATTTCTGGAGATCACAAATGATGTAGCCAAAAGTACCTGAAGCTGCATTGGTCTTTGAAAACAAATGCTACGGGGGGCGATATGGCGCTGTTTTCTTTTCGCGCTTAACAGCGGACTGATTACCTCCATGTGGATGGCTTTCCCGCTTTTGTCCAGCAGCTCGCCATGTGCGTCTGTGGACTTGACACACAGAGAGGAGTTGACCACGACGAGGGGGTTTGAGTCCAGCGAAGAACGGTTCCAGAAATCGGGTAAGACAAAAACAGAAGCCAAAAAATTAAATAAACAAGTAAATAACAGGGTGAGAATGTGGTAAATATCAGACGAGGGCTTTTCTTTTTCTGGATTGCTCTTTAAAACTGTATGTTGGGTTTAGGGAAGTGGGTTGGCGGGTCAATCAGTGCTTTTGAAAACACTATTGGTTGCGTTTAGGGCAGGAGGAGGGTGAGTCAGTTGATCGGTCAGTCAGTCAGTCGACAGCGGCCTCTGGTGGGTTTACATGAGAAAAGTAGGCGCAAATGGCACCCGTGAGAGAAATTTGAGATCTTAAAAAGTGTACACAGCGGCCTCTGGTGGATTTGCGAAAACAAAAACTGCAAAAAATGTTGCTCCTGGGACATATTTGGCGCTCTCCAGAAATGCATATAGTGGTATGTTTTCAGAATGAGCCTTGGTTGTTTGAAACTATCCCTTTAATACCCACGATTCCCTTTGAAGTCCACTTCTATCCAGGCTTTTATATTTGATGAAATTCGCTTGATCATTGTACCTTGCTTTTAAGTTTTGTTTAGTTTTTTTTATTTTTTATTTCCAAAAGCACATCAAGCTGCCTTCTGAGAGTTCTTCAGAAGGCTGTATCTGTGTGTGTGATTGTCAGTTGTCTGTGTTGGCTTTAGCAGAGATCTGTAGCGGCTGGTGCCGACGGCGCATTAGTGCAGGAGAACTGAACGTGTTTGGCGCTGATGGTTGCATAGGGCCGGGGTTTGTGTGTGATTTCTGTGGCCGTGGCTTGTCAGTGGGACTTTGGCCCTCAAGGGCCCCTTCACACACCTCCAGCAGCAAGAGCACCTGCTCCCGCAAGGGTGAAGCCTTGAACCTGCGCGCTGCCAGGTAGAAGAAGGCCTCAATAAATGCCTGAAGACACATTCCTGAAACAGACAAGAGCTTTGTTTTAGTTGGTGATCAAAGGTTACATTCACACTGTCAGTGTTTGGGACTGATGACTATGTTACTTATAGGTGTTCAAGAGCCCCTATTATGCATTTAAAAAGGTCATATTTTGGTTTTAATGCATCATTTAAATATTATGCCATTTCATGATATGAGAAATAGATGGAGTAAATGGACATTAATGGGGACTGTTAAAGGGATAGTTCATCCAAAAATGAAAATTTACTCACTATTCTCATCATCACCAACAAGTGGTTTCAAACATTTATTAATTGATTTTTTTTCTGTTAAACACAAGATATTTTGAAGAAAGCTGAAAACATTTACTGGAACCATCATTTTCCAGAAACAATTACTATGGAAGTCAATGGTTACAGGTTTCCAGCTTTCCTCAAAATATCTTTGTAATTCATTTTTTGGGTAAACTATGCCTTTAAAGACTTGGCTTGTTATCAGGATCCCACCATAGTCATGTTAAAGAAATGTGAAGTAGATAGTGGAGCACTGTTTTTTTTTTGGTTTTTTTTTTGAGAACTGGAAATCTGTTTTTAGTTTTACTAAGCCAGCAGTGTGAATCACTGAAACATTGTAGGCTCCTTTAAATACGGCATCGAAATATGTCCTTCCTTTTCTGGGTGAAGATACAGCAAATGGTGCCTTTAGGCCCGGATTATCACAAGATTTATTGCACACTGCAGAAAACAGGATTTGATGAGGGGGATTCAAAAGGGGCTAATTAAACTTTTAAAATGGAAGCGAGTTTCGATTTAACTTTCTCGGATGGTTAATAATACAAATGTTAAAAACAGCTCAGCTGTTCACACATTTTACTGTACCAAGATGCAGTTTCATAGATTATTTTATACTTGGACCATGGTGAACCTATTTAGACGCTTTTCAAAATGCTCATGAACGGTAGAAGCAGTTTGGGCTGCTAGCAATCATCCAGACTATAGATTTTCCCATTTAACAATGCTCAGTTTTCCACTGTGGACTATAAAGGTCACTACTTCAAAGTCACTGAACTGGGACACACAGCTTGTGTTTGTATGAACGAGACTGAAATCATTGTATTCTACGTGAGGATATCACTGGTAACCATAGCAACAGTTACTTAAGTATGGTGACCTCCAAACTGCTAAGTTTTATCATATTTGACACAAAACAAAAGTTGAACAGATGTGCAATTTTCTCCGTCAAGCAGTTACAACTTGTAAAATACCCAAATGTGTAGGGAAAAAAAAGATATTAAATAAAAATTCAGGACTGACAACCATATTGTGCTGCTGGGTGAACGGGACCAAAATGAACGAATCACTTCCCTTCTGAAAAGACACGTGTTTTGCTAGTGTGTATTTTAGGTTTAGCGTGCATTAGCTTGACCAGTCTGGAAATTATCGTTTCATTTTTAACAAAATCTTAGTTTAAATCAGCATAATTTGTGATATAATTGTTATCTGATTTTATTCCAGTTTTATATTATGCTATTGAAGCATTAAAGATGTATTTTTCCAGTCAAATTGATAAGAAATCTGCTCGCTCAGTGATAAAAGGGAAGTATAGACAAATCTCTTCTTCTTAATGTCTGCGTACATCAGAGTATAATGGATTATCGGAGGGAAAAAATAAGAGCGGGTGCTCATTGGCTGTTGATTGGATTTAAAGATGCTTGTCAAAAAACGGAGGCAGATTAACTTGCAAGACTGGATTGAAGCACATTAAAAGATTAGAAAAAGTATGCTAAGTTATGATATAATATGTTGATTTAAATATAATATAATAAGTATATGCCAACTTCAAAAAAGTCTCTGTTATGGCTCAGGTTTTTCCTTCAATGCGAGTCCATTGGACTTTGTTGTCTGTATTGTCATCTGCCAACCACTAGTCTAATGTTCAGCGCTTTTGAAGGCCTTCTAACTATTAATAAACCCGAGCAATATTATCAGTAGTATAAACAGCAGTAGTTCCACACTAATCAGACAAGAAAATACATGTTATTAGGGGCTTTTGAACAAGGTGGTTGTAGGTACTACAGATAATCTCAGGCTTTAGAGAGTTTGCATTTATACTCAAAGTAAGAAATCTGGATCTGTGTTCACAGGTATCATACCCACAAAGAGTTCTCCAAAGCTAAGAGTTCTCTCTCAGAACCTAATCACAATACTGCTGAGACTAATTTTTTACTAAGGGACAGAGAAAATTCTTTTGCTAAGAGTACTGTAGGGATGGAGTCGACCTCTTTGCTATGGATGATGTCAGGACAATTACTAAATATGCACAAAGTGATTGGCTGTAGGGGAGTGGAGGAGTCTCTGCAAGAGATTTATTCATGGAAACTTTGTAGAGTGTAATATTATGTTGCCATATAAAAAATATTTTAAAAAAAGATTGCAAAATGCAGGTTAAGTGAACAATTTCAATTTTAGAAGGATGTTCTTTGCTTTTGATGCTATATAGACATTAAATAAAAACATTTAATTAAGAAACAATTTTGCAAATCTATTCTAAAAACTTGTATATACATTATCTTTTAAGCATATTTCTAAAAACATATACAGTTTAAGTCAGAATTATTAGCCCCGCTGAATTATTAGCCCCTGTTTATTTTTCCCCAATTTCTGTTTAATGGAGAGCAGATTATTTCAACACATTTCTAAACATAACAGTTTTAATAACTCATTAATAATAACTGATTTATTTTCTCTTTGCCATGATGACAGTAAATAATATTTGTCTAGATATTTTTCCAGACACTTCTATACAGCTTAAAGTGACATTTAAAGGCTTAACTAGGTTAATTAGGTTAACTAGGCAGGTTAGGGTAATTAGGCAAGTTATTGTAACGATGGTTTCTTTTGTAGACTATAAAAAACAAATATAGCTTAAAGGGGCTAATCATTTTGACCTTAAAATTATTTTTAAAAATTTAAAAACTGTTTGTATTGGAGAAAAACAAATAAGACTTTCTCCAGAAGAAAAAATATTATCAGACATACTGTGAACATTTCCTTGCTCTCTTAAACATAATTTAAAAAAGAAAAAAATGAAAAGGGGTGCTAATAATTCTGACTTCAACTGTATATTAAAATGACCTGATTTGTATTTATAGTACACAAATTTGCGTAAATATTTTTTAAATATATATTTTTTTAAAGTAGATTTCTGACTTTATGGGAATACCTCTGTGATTTAGTCGATAACTTATTAAAAGCACATTGTGGTCAAATTTTTTTTAAATGTTTTCTTTCCAAGAAAGATTCCATTTTAGGACAGTATTATTCAGACAGTTTCAGATATTTACATCCACATTTAAACAAAGACTTACCTAAAACCTGACCTAAATCTGCAAGTTAGGAGCTCCATTTAGCCTTAAGGTGAATGTGGCCATTGCTGTTTTCCATGTTTGTGGAATATGTTAGTAAATTGTGTTTACGCAACTTTTTAAAAAATGCCAGATACTGTTTTTTTTTTGTATGGCATCAGTACAGTCAGTCAATAGCTTCCATCCAGATATTTTTATGCAAATTTTGGATTTGCGCATGAAAAAAAAAAGGTTGATGTAAACTATAAAATACACACAAAAAATGTATGTGCATAACGGAGTACGACAATTTTTCCATTCTATAAGAAGAGATATAAACTCTGATGGAAACACTTTTACCGCACAAATTCCAGTATGCGCATTAAAAAAGGTCATGTGATTTTGTTATAAGAGATCATGTGATGATAATGTTTGTGAATGGACAAACCAGCAGGCTGAGCACATTGTAAAACATCTGAAATGTAGTTTTGGTCATTCTAAAGCCGCCTTTCCACTGCACACAACATTTGGACACGACTGTTGGAATACGCTTCCTTGTGGCAGCCGCTTAGTATTTTCAGTGTTGTCTTGAGAAGCTGATTTCACGGTGTCCGAAATAAAGGAGTGCACAAGCAAGAGCCTTCATTCTCTGTGCGTTTACATGAATGAATACTAGAAACTCATAGACCGCTAAAATATTGAGAGAATGTGGAGGCAACATTAAAAATAAATATTTTTATTACTTTTTTACTTACATTTATGAACAGAAAAGTTTTTTTTAAATATAGACTTTTTATAATTCAAAAAATAACCAAACTCCTATTTCTCATCTCGCACACACGGATCTGCTTGGACAACACTGGAATACATCATATCCGGTCAGCAGGTCGCATACGGTCTAGTCGCAGGAGTTCAAATATTTCAACGGATCCGCAGCTCAATTCGGATCCGAATTTTCAGCATACGGAGATGATCGGAACTCAACGCAGCTCTCGGACTGCTCCCCATTGAAAATTAATGACTTCCAGTCTGTCGCTTGTCGTGTGCAGTGGAAAGGAGGCTTAAAACGCCTTAACTATCTCAGTATTAGTGTTATTAGATTATTAACGACCTCCAGAACTGTCCAGAGCACCTGTGCTCAGCGTCTCAGGCCTTCATAACGCCACTGCCTTTGCCTTCTGAGGCACAAGTAATTTATTAAATGAAGAAAAGATTGACGCAGTTTCTCCTACCACAGTAAATTCTGTTTTTACTGATATTTGACGCCAGGTAATCAGGAAGTGTCGATTTTGTTTTCTTTGACTCTTTGTATGGAAACGCTGCTTTTTTTTTTTTTTTTTTTTTGATATTCCAGTTTTGCTCAGAAAGTTAATTTCCATTTTTGGATGGAAACATTGGATGGAAGCTAATGTACTCTTTTTATATAGTTCCTATTAGGTCAAACCTTACTCTAAAATAGGAACTTATTTTTCACCCCAAAAATCAGTCCCAGTTCCAGCAGTACAAACGCTAAATTCAGGTACTGCTCCAACAGCAATAAGAACTGTGGAAAACAAAAAAACCCATATGTAAGAAAGCCATTATTGTCAGATAAAAAGTATCCTGACAGGAGAAGGACAGATTTGAGAAAAGCAATTAGAGACATTATTTCTAAGCAGTAAGACGCTTTAATCAGAAGTGTACATATGGCAGATTTTCCCTTCTGCTTGTTTATAAATTAATGGGGCTCCATCGGTGTATTATTTAGTGCGCCCGGTCTCAGTGCTGATGAAAACTTAATTACAGGATATTTATGCTTCAGCTAAAAACTTCATCTGCAAGCTGAAATCATCAGCAGCCGTTTCTCAAGGTCACGTCTGAGCCTGAGAGCTGAGGGAGAGAAACGCAGACTTCTTCAGCTTAAAGAGGAAAAACTTTGTACATTTAAAAAGAAGAAAGAGAACAGTCAAATTCTCTCTGTGCATTTCAACAGAAAGCCACTTGCTGTTATTACTGATTTTAAGGGTCTCTGGGACCCTCAGGGGGTTTGGACCTGAAGTTGGATGCAGATCACTTGTCTGACTGCATATACTGAGCGTTAATGAGCCATCGCTGTGGACACGATGAAGCTGTGAAAAAAAATCTAGAAAAAAAACCCAGGCTGCGTGCTGCGCTAGACTGAAATATGTGTACATTGAGAAGAGACGGCGACAATTATTAAAGCAATACTGTTTTCCAGAAGGAGAAAATGGGTTTCATTAAAAGCATACTTCGCCATAAAATGACATTTCTCTCATCATGTACTCCACATCCTCCACTTGTTCCAAACCTGTTTGAGTTACTTTCTTCTGTTAAACACAAAAGAAGATATTTTGAAGAATGATGGACACTGGTGACTTCTAGGGCTGTGCAATAGGACAACATATGAGCAATATCAAATGAGTAGCAGTGCCTTATAGCTGTATATCGGCACTGGTGGGAGGAGTGCCTTGGTGCGCCTTGGTGCGCCTTGGTGACGGCATAATCGTGTAAATAAAAAAGAAAATCTAACATGGAGTGTCTAAAAACACTTTTGTATGAGGAACTACTTTCTTCCGCCATTTATTCACATCTGCAGCTGACGTCAGAACAGCAGAAGCCGTTGCTACTTCACCAACATCATTTTAGATCTAGTATTTTGAAACTCAAGGTTATACGAAGCGTGGCCAACACAAAATACACATATATTTTATACCTGTGTGTGTGTATATATTTTATAGGTGTGTGTATATACGTGTGTGTATATATTTTATACGTGTGTGTGTATATATTTTATAGGTGTGTGTATATACGTGTGTGTATATATTTTATACGTGTGTGTGTATATATTTTATAGGTGTGTGTATATACGTGTGTGTATATATTTTATACGTATGTGAGTCCCATCCCACACTTAGCACACTACAATTATATGTTATAAATACAGCACTACAACATACAAAAGAGAGAGATCGACTTAAGCCACCTTTCCACTGCACACGAAATTTGGACACAACTGTCAGAATACGCCCCCTTGTGGCAGTCGCAAAGAATTTTCCATTTTGTTGTGCACCATGGGAGAGACGCTGTTCTCGCAGTGTCCGAAATAAAGGAGTGCAAAAGCAAGAGACTTTACTCTCCGTGCGTTCACCATGGCAGAATGAATGAATACTAGAAACTCATAGACTGCTAAAACTTTTTGAAGGAATGTGAAGACAACATAAAATTTTTTATTTTTTATTACTGAATATATATATATATAAAGAGAGAAAGAGAGAGAGGCTTTTTTTCTTACTTAAAAAATAATGAAAAATCTTATTTCTCATCCTGCACACACGATTCTGCTTCGACAACACTGAAATACATCACATCTGGTCGGCTGGTCGCATACGGTCTAGTCGCAATTTTAGACCAATTTTAAAATGATTTGATCAGCTGTAGTTTGGTAATACGTCGATCTTTACTCCTCTAAGGGGTTATTATGTGGTCTCTGTCCCCATCTTGTGGATAGACAACATTAACCATCTTTGCTCTGCTCAGTGACAGGCTAATGGCCGCCGACATGCTGTCTCAGAAATTATAAATATTTAAAATAGGCACTATCCTTATGAATAAACTGCATAGCTGCAATCTAAACCACTGCATTCTCAACCAAAAGGCCTCAAAAGTATATTATGTTGTCCAACAGCTGCAATATTTGTCAAACTGTAGTGTGGTATTGATCTGTTGTCACTCTATGTGGGTGGAGTAATACACAAGGGTGAGGAGGCTGTACAAGTTCTGATATTGCAGAATATCATACACCAATCAGCCAATCGGGTTCGAGAATTTAAAATATTTCCCAAATGATGTTTAACAGAGCAAGGAAATGTTCACAGTATGTCTGATAATATTTTTTTCTTCTGTAGAAAGTCTTATTAATTTAATTTTGGCTAAAATAAAATCAGTTTTAAATTATTTAAATACCATTTTAAGGTCAAAATTATTAGCCCCTTTAAGCTAAATTTGTTTTTGATAGACCACAGATCAAACCATCGTTATACAATAACTTGCTTAAATACCCTAACCTGCCTACTCAACCTAATGAACCTAGTTAAGCCTTTAAATGTCTCTTTAAGCTGTAGGTTTAATAATTCAGGGGGGCTAATAATTCTGACTTCAACTGTACATCATAATCAGGATATGAAATATTTGTCATATCACCCAGCCCCAGTGGGTTCCATAGTATTTTTCCCCACTATGGATCCCAGAGACTAACAGTTTCAACATTCACCGAAGGCTTTTCTTTTGTGTTCAACAGAAAAAAGAAAGAACCACCTGAGGAGTAAATACTGAGCAATTTTTTCAATTGTGGGTGAACTATCCCTTTAATAAAACCCTTTTTCTCCTTTTGGAAAACAGCATTGCTATAATAACTCATCTTTTCTTAATGGAACTCTCCCATTAAGCAGACTAATAAGAATTCAGCATTATTGTGGCATATGAAGCAGACTGGACTGTAATAAATTCCTACATTTAAGTATTCTGTCCGAGTGTCAGGTCAGCATTCCTCAATAGAGTAAATGTATTACTATTAATGAAGATCATGGCAGCGCTATCTCCCGCTTTCCTCCTCGGGGATAAACAGTTCAATCCCCCTCTTTTTAAACCGTCCCTTCTATTATTTATAAATATCAACCTTATCCACCAGTTATTACTTTGCCCTCGCCACACAGTCTTCTCTTTCTCTCTGTGTGTTGATTCCCAACTGCAAGGAGCTAATGACCAAATTCAGTGCAACCTTCTGAAACATTCCGGAATTCAGCTCACATCATTCCACTCTGGCCATTTAGGAGCACAGAGACTCAAGTATATATTCATTCTGTCTTTTGATTAGGAGAAGCAAGGCCTGCCATGCATTATTCATTTCATACGTTCCTCCAAGAAAACGATGCTAGCATGACCAAACCTAATGCACCATCACAAGGAATATTACCAGTGCTCATTTAAAAGCCGAAATGACTTGTGGGCACATTAACTTTGGCACACACGCACATTAAATGTTCCCATTTACCAAATTAGCATTTTAAAGTGAAGATTTCTTTTTATATATTTTACATTTATTGATGTATATATATATATATATATATATATATATATAATTATATTATTTAATTATGAAGGATTGAGGCTTGAAGTTTTGGTTGTGTGGCATTATGTAATCATCTATTTTTTCCAATTTACAAGTACTGGGCAAATAAAGGATTTACTTATCAATTATCTCCCCTGACGATCTCGTTTATGACTGCATGCCAAGAGAAATGCACTATGATGAATAGTCACAAATGTGTCTTTTATCGGAGGCTGTTTAACAGCTTTTTGATTGTGTGTCGGCCCCGGGAGTAAAGATGTGCTGTAAATTGCATGATGATTAGTGGTTGGCTTGCCTGCCTCTCTGGAGTCGGGGTTTATTCCAGCCCAGCGGCGCGTGATGTCGATGTACAGGATGTCCACTGACGCCATTGAGAAGCTGCTGTTGCTCAGTTTGCAGTTCCTAAAGGAGATGTTGAATTAATGTAGTACATGACACCTGAACGCTGTCTTATTCTCACAATGAAAAACACTGAGGCACTTATGAAGGCAGAATCACATGTTAGTTTAAAGGTTGCTCATTTTGTTTTGGAGTTCTTCTACAATAGGTATTTTGGCACAATATGCATCCAAGGGCAAAAACACTTTTTCAGAATATAATAATCTAGGCATATGACGATAACCGTGTTCAAGGTATACCACAGTTGGGAAAAGTCAAAGTTTTAAAACCTTTAATTTGTTGCTATACCATTCCTAAGCAATAAGTAAGATTTTTTTATTTACATTTTTTTTTGTATTTTAAGACAACAGTGTCTCCAGCAGAAAAGATCACCAAAGATGCTGTTTTAAATTGTAAAAAAAAATCAGTGTTTTTAAAACAAATAAAGACAACAGAAGTCAATAATTCATTTGAATTAGTTCAGGGTTTCTGCAGGTTTCACCAATTTAACTTTAAGACTTTTTAAGGCATTTTAAGGCATTTAAGGCCATTATGAATGAAAGTTTAGACTCATGAAGGGTTAAAGGCTGAGGATTTTGTGAAATGGCCCAGATGGAAATGATTTTTATTTGCCTTATCAATATATATATATATATATATATATATATAATAATAATTGAATACATTTAATAATATATTAATATATTCAATATTATTAGTTATATATTAATAATAAAAGTTTATTATTTTTTAAATTTCTTAGCAAAATATTTTAAATATTGTATAAAAACAAGCAAGCTTTTGTATCCAGACACTTTTTTCCAGCATAACCTTTCTTTTCAAATAAAAATGCACAAATGTTTTTAAAGTTTTAAAAACAATAATAAACTAAATCTATGCACAACAATCTGTCCCGGTCGGTGTCCTCAGCAGTAAATACATGGAGCAGTTTAAAACAAATGTCATTGTAGGGAAAATAATTAAACCATTATAATAAATAGAGTTAAAAATCACATTTTTGAATAAATAGTTTAAAGTTTTTGGATTGATGGGTATTGTATGGGTTTTGGCCAGATTGAGAGGCTATACATAAACAAAGGAAAATTAAGACCTGTTTCAAAAGATTTAAGACCTACAACACAATCATTTAGTAAATTTAAGACTTTTTAGGCCTAAAATTTGGATTTTGCGATTTAAAACCTTTTAAGACTTTTTAGGGCCCTGCAGAGTAGCCTGCCATGTTTATTGTTCCAAAATATTTGAAATGTTTCCAAAAATACAATATATTGTGTTCAAAGAGGGAAAAGGTTATGTTTTTTACCCAGACATTTTAAAAGAATATATAACTAATAATAATACTAATACTACTAATAATGTCTTTAAAACTTCAAATAAGGGTAGTGTCATTTAATGACAATAATTTATTCTAGAAAAATTGTAGAAGAACATAGTTTACAATGTTCACTCTTTACATACAATATGTATGTTTTTTTCTTAACATATATGATCTGAAATATCAAGTATTTCATACTGACCTATTGTCATTTCTGCAAACAAATGTTCTAAATTGATATTTATTTATGATTTAGAAACACTGACAACACACCTATTAATAACAAATACAGAGAACCAGCAATAATATTGAAGTGGTCGGTGTCTGACTGTGGCTTTCTTCCTACTGAGCTTAAGAAACGTAAGACTTGCCTGATAAAGGTGCGAAACCCGGTCGGACCGAGTTTCATGGTCCCTTTGACACCAAGGAAGCGCAGGAATATGGTAGCGATGCGATCCACGACCCTCAAGTAATTAAACTGCTTGGTGTATTTGGGGAAGACTTGCTTTAAACACAAAGATGGAAGTGAATCCGCCAAGCCTTCTTTCTCATCACTTGCTGTTTCCACAACAATAGCTTCTTCTGGGGAAACACCCCCGACATTTGACCTGTGACACACAAACAAATATTAAACTCAACACACACACAAACACACACACACACACAGGTTTGTTTTACTATCTTAGTGCAAGGCTCACAAATTCCAGTAGCCCGACGTCCTGGGGCTTTGCTTTTTTTTAGTCTGGCTATCAAGATCTATCTCCAACTGCCCGGCGGGCCTGTGGGAGGTAAAATATATCTTAATGCCTTTACATTCTCTCACAAATCAGATAATTATGTATGAACTGTGCTGCTGATATGGCAGCAATAAATCCACCTGTTAACAATACAGGAGAAAAGCCACAATATAAACTATTACCTCCCAAATAACACAGTGTTTCTGTCCGTTTAATCGCTTGTTCTGTACTGAAATCACTCACTCAGAGATCACATTGATACAACGATTCGGATACAGAAATAGCCTGAGCTGAGTTTAAAATATAGTAATCATATGTTTTAAATTAAAATATGAATTAAAGATTAAATTGATTTTAAAAATGACATTTATTCAGGGACAATTAAAATATACAAAATTGTATATGTATTTTCTATTTGGGCTACTTAAATTTATATTTGGGCTACCAAAAACTGAAGAGTGCCTATTAGAAGGCAGAAATTTTGCGAGCCCTGTAGTGACAACATTACATAGCCTTCCATTGCTTTTATATCAGGTTAATGATAATCAGGTTAATGATACTTTGGCCTCTACCCCTAAATCCCACCCTCACATAAACAACTGTCTATCATAAAATATTAATAAAAATATGGCTAATTTATATGCCCAATTAATTAATGAAGGCTAATGAAATGTTCTCACTAGTGGGTCATTTTGTTTATACAGATGAAGTCAGAATTATTAGCCGCCCTTTTAAAGTTTTGTTTTCTTTTTAAAATATTTTCCAAAAAATGTTTAACAGAGCAAGGAAATTTTCACAATATGTCTGATAATATTTTTTCTTACGGAAAAAGTCTCATGTGTTTTATATCGGCTAGAGTAAAAGCAGTTTTTAATTTTTTTAAACCCATTTTAAGGTCAGAATTATTAGCTCCTTTAAGCTATATATATTTTTAATAGTCTACAGAACAAACCATCGTTATACAATACTTGCCTCATCACCCTAACCTGCCTAGTTAAACTAATTAACCTAGTTAAGCCTGTAAATGTCACTTTAAGCTGTATAGAAGTGTCTTAAAAATATATAGTTTAACATTATTTACTGTCATCATGGCAAATATAAAATAAATCAGTTATCAGAAATGAGTTATTAAAGCTATTATGTTTAGAAATGTGTTGGAAAAAAAATCTTCTCTCCGTTAAACAGAAATTTGGGGGGAAAAAAAACAGGGGGGCTAATAATTCTGACTTTAACTTTATGTGCACACACACACTTTTCTGAAGACTCGCATGATTAGAAATCTTTAAACAACGAGCTTGGAAATAAGTAGTTTATAAAGTGTAATAGAACTACATAAACAAATGGGCAATGGTAGTATAAAGTGAAAACATTGTCATTTTCAGTTACTCTCTTCTTCTATCTCCTGTACCAAACACATATCTCCAGATGGTTTATGTTTTGTAACATTTACGACTGTAGATAAGGAGAGGAAAAACTGAAGGTCACTTATGAAATTGCCAAACACTAGCAAAAAAAAAACACTTAAAACTTGTGGAAAGTGTAGTGATTGATTTAGTGATAATATAATGCATAAACAAATAAAATCTGTCAAGTAGGAGAATGGAGGACTTCAAACAAAGGACTAAAAACCTTTCTCGGTGAACAGCATCAGAAAAACCACAAGCCTAACAATTTTCTCCCATTAAATACCTCTTTCTCTTTCACTCATCCAAGGACAACATAATGAAAAACAATTATTTAACAATCACAAAGGCAACCGACCGAACTGCGGCCCTCTCATACGTGCATTGAGACCAGATGGACGAGAACCCAAAGCAGTTTATTATGTGTAGATTATTGCTTTTCAGCAGTGCTGTAAGTAACTTAAAGAGCTTTTACTCGGAGTAGATGTACTTCAGTGGCTTCTGACCCGAAGGTTACGACTGGAGACTTACAAGGTAAAAGTACTAATGCCTGAGACACGACTTAACCAACACACTTAATAGGTTTTCCTGATAGGTTTCTAAAGGGGCTTCTCTCTCACACGACAACCTTTAATCCGGATGATCACAAATGCGTTTACTTTAACAAAAGAACTATCATCACCATCAGAGTTTAATCAGGTCAAGATAAATCGGTTTCACTTTTTTTAACGTTTTTTTATTTATTTATTTAAGGAGGCCCTATTATGCATTAAAAAGGGTCATATTTTGGTTTTGGGGGTTCTCCAACTAAAGTCTAATATGCATGCAACGTCAAAAAACACTATCATTGTCTTATAGTATGCATTTATTTTTACCAAATTTTCCCAGCGACTCTGATATGAATCGTTGAGCAATTCATTTATTCCCAAACTGCTCCTAAGCGCAATGCTAATCTGCGCTGATTGGTCCGATGACCCAGTATGTTGTGATTTGTCGACTGGGTTCAGTGTGAGACAGAGAGAATCGCCCACCACGGCTTAGCAACAATTTTGAAGTAGTCAGAGTGAGAGTGTGAGCCCAATACAGGAGTGCATTAAAGCAATGCAGTTTAACATGAGCTTATTGCTCTATTCTTAACCAAAAGTAAAAACAGTGAAACAAATTCAGTATTAATCCACACAGTGGCAAAAGCTGAACTGTTTTGAAACTTGACTGCCGTGCGTCTGTAGAAACAGCTGACAATGGCCATACTGTAGCAACGACAGACGGCAGAATCCGTAAACGTTAAATCTGTAAACAAAGTGGCATTCGCCACGTTTTCAACATGGTTTTAAACACGATATGAGAATATAAAGAGTTAACCAGATACAGTACAAGCGGTTACAGGTAACAATTAAATACATAATGTTGTAACCGTAATGTTTGTAACCGTAGTAGTGCTGTGCATAATTTGTTTAACCCTTTAAAGTTACGTGCTGACTGACTGACTGGCTGACTTGACAGGTGCGTGATGCATGAGGTCAGCAAACACGGCTTATAGCCGTTTCATTTTACTTCAGGATACATTAATATAGCTCTGTAGGTCTATTAGAGACATTCATAAATATTCCTAGCAAATCTAATAAATGTTGGAGACATACTTGTTACATAAACACACTTAATCACACAGCAGCGTTTACTTGTGTACTTGTTTACTTGCAGTGTATATTTGAAGGGGCATGCAAGAACTTTTGTACACGAGCAGAGGAAATCGGCGCTCCAGCAAAGAGATTCGCATGCTTGTAGGCTATTACATAAATGCGATCTCGACTTGTAAAACTGCGCTCACAACATTTGTCATTGAAATAACGCCATGGTTGGTAGATTTGTGTAAAAAAGGCCTGCCGCCACAGCTGGAAAACATCCAGGAGGAAACACTGTCCTGTCAAGGTCTGACAAAGTCCTGTCCGCTTGTTAAGTGGTGACATGTTGGTGACATATGTAATACTGTTTCCGGGTCCAAACCGCCACTCATTTGAGTTAAGAAATCATTCGTTTATGATCACTTTTTATTCATATCACACATTAAAGGTAATTTTTTATAAATTCATAGTGTACACAATAATCTCTGGGCTTGCTGCATAAGAAATACCAAAACTTTAACAATTTATAAAAAAATGTATCACTTTCTGGCCATTGGCTTTGTAAACGTTTATTACATACAGCAACAAGCAGTGTACAGTATACAGTTTGACAAATATTGCAGCTATTGGACAACAATGTACTTTTAAGGCTTTTGTAGGTGAGAATGTAATGGTTTAGATTGGCGACAGAGACCGCATAATAAGCTCTTAGAGGAGGAAAAACCCAGTGTAATTTTAAACTACAGCTGATCAAATCATTATAAAACTGGTAAATGACATCTCTCTTTTGTATGTTGTAGTGCTGTATTTATACCATGGTAATTGTAGTGTGTTGAGTGTAAGATGGGACTTGCATACTAGGAATGTATGTATTGTCTGTTGGCCACTCTTTGTATAACCAAAGAGTGAGTTCTTTGAGTACTTTTAGGCCATCTGTTTCTATTAGGTCTCCTGTTTTTGTTACTGCAGTTCTAGTTCTAGACTAGTTCAGTAAACAGAAAGAAATGCCCGCATGTGTTTAGCGTTATTTCATTTTGCAAACACAACAGTAATCGGGTTTTGATTGTGCTGCTTTTTGCCAGGAAATGTCTGTAGACTGATGGCGTTTCATGTCGTTCAGCCTTATAATCTTAAAATGTAAGTAAAATTGACTGTTTTGTCATCACTTTACATATTACGCAAGAGAATCATTCAAATACTAGCTCTAAAGTGACGTTTGTGAAGTAGCAACAATTTCTGCTGTTCTGACGTCAGTTGCAGATGTGAGGAAATGGCGAAAGAAAGTAGTTCCCTTTTACAAAAAAGTCGTATAGCATTCAGCTTTATACGACTTCTAAGAAAATCAGAAAACCCCTGTTTATTTCATTTGCATGTGTCTTTAATATTTAATATTTATCTATAATTGTTATTTGGTTAGTATGTAGAGTGTTACGTAGAATTCTTTGTCCAAAAAAAAAAAGCTATTTAAGTCATTTGGTGAATTGTGTTTATCGCAAAATATATTGCAGAAAAACAAAATATCGCAATAGTAATTTTTTCCCCAATATCGTGAATTTCTATTATAGATCGTAACAATGCATCAGGGGCGACGCAGGGGAGCAGTAGATAGTGCTGTCGTCTCACAGCAAGAAGGTCGCGGGTTCGAACCTCCGCTGGGTCACTTGCCATTTCTGTGTGGGGTTTGCATGTTCTCCCTTTGCTCGCGTGGGTGTCCTCCGAGTGCTTCGGTTTCCCCCACAGTCCAAAGACATGCAATACAGGTGAATTGGGTACAGTGATGGGTTGCGGCTGGAAGGGCATCCGCTGCGTAAAGTCATGTTATTATTAATTATTATTAATTCATGTT